ATTTTGTGTCCAATCAATCAATGTCATCTGAAATGAAACGGATGGGATGGAGTATTATTAATGTAGAGTAATGCTAGACATTAGTATGAGATGTTTGTTAATTTGTGCAGGGTTACTATAGCGTGTATGGAGGAGCAGCTAGCCAATATCCAGTGTATGGCACTGCAGCTAGTGGTGTGTTATCCAGTGCAGCTGCTGCCTTTTACCCTTACATGAACTTTGGAGAAGGAAATGGTGGAGGAACGACTGGCTACACAGCCGCCAGCCAGGGGTACGGCGGGGTTCAGTACCCACACCATCTCTTCCAGTATTCAGCTGCTGCTATCAACTCCACTGGTGGGGGTTACCCAGCACAGCACTATGGTACCCCCATTTCCCTCGCTCCCTCACCTGCACTGCATTCAGGTTTGCATATCACACCCAATCTCTTTAGTTTTTACTTTGTTTAATACCATGAGATTTAAGTACTTTTGATATTTGTCAAAAGTCTTTCTTCTTTTTTAAACTACGTATCTAGTCAATCATATAAAATGAAACCGACCGAAGAAGTAATTCTTGTGAAAGAATATGTTATGTTCAGCCAAAAACTTAATTAGGCATTGGAAAAGATAACCAACACTTTCTTAAAGCCCTTACCCTTTTAATGTTTGGAAATTTATCTTTTTCACTTTACCTGCATGTACTTGAAATAAATTCCAAGTCGGAGTCAATTTGATCAGTTTGTATTTAAGACTACAACTAAGAAAAGGCCTCTATATCTCAGAGAAGCCTTACTTTCAAGCTAGCATTGAAATCCATGGACTCAATAGTTTTTGACTTTACAATATCAACACACCTAACTGTCAACAAACTTAAAGCTCGCCATCAAATTATGGCCTACCAACAATTAATATCATCTGGTTTCTTATTTGTTTCATTAATGCCTTTCTATGTGATAATTGAAGGAAATAAAGTACTTCTTTGAAAGGAATTTTAACTGCTAGTAGCTAGTTCCTCGATGTGAATTTCCTCCAATCCCAACCAGCCCTCCTTTTTGTTTTCATTAATTTAATTGCGCTACTATTGATGGGAAGGAGGTACTAATATCTTTGACAGTTTGTTTTGCTGTGCCACAGGCGTGACAATGACGCTGCGTGGACCAATACCTCATCGTTAAGAGAGACTTTATAATTGTCATCTGGTCAAGAGAGATCGATACAACATTGATCATCTACAAAAAATACTGAAGGATATTTGGCCTAACCATGGTTCTCTTGCATCTTTCTCTTTGTCAAATGGAGGCCCGCGTATGGAACACGGGCTTTTCCCAGAAGCTTAAGGCCCCCCAAAGGGGTACGTTCAAAAACTGTGGAGTAAAAATTCTCCATACCATTTCTTCTCTTGTAAGGAAAGGGTCCTTCAAGAGAGAAACAAAGCATGCATATGCATCTCATCATCACCAACTCAAGCTATCAAAAGTGCTGAGTTGGTCATCATCTTTTATCTTTCTTTTTTATAAAAGCTTAGCCCTGGAAAAGGCTGAGCAAATTGTTTTAAGATTTTGCCTGTGAAGGGCTCAACTAAAAAGTTCCGAGTTAGTTTTAGTTTTAAAAAAAGAATTGTAAATTCAAGAATTTTCCAACTTGTAGTCTTTTCAACTTCACTTTAATGTGGATCTTGAAATGGCTAATCCCTCCAACTTAAGCTACTCCTATTAACTTGTAGATGTTATAGAAATATTTGTGAAATCATGGGAATGAGGATGTCCCAAGTTTTTGTTACTGCTAACTATTAACTAGTCTTAGGATTTTAGAACTTAGACTAGGATCAATCACCTTTTGAAAATCTTTTTAAAATTTTCATTTTGATAATCACACACTGTGTCTAACAAGCCAGCAATGTCTCTTGGGGATAAGAGAAATTGTCTGAATTTACTGTTGATGTTTGTTTGTTTTTAATGTTGTAAAAAGTTTAGGCGGGGGCTAGAATTGGGTAATTTTAGCCCCTTTTACTTTAAAATGTAGGAGGGATAGTGGATAATATTGGTTAATCTGTTTAGCTTTATCATATTGCATTAACTTTTTCAGGAACTCCATTAAATGGATATGGAGTTCCCATGCATCAGAAGTTAGTTACCCTAGGGAGATATTTTGGGGTCTCTTGGGTACTTCTTCAACTAGACTCATCTACCATGGTTAGGACTCAGGTCATCTTCAATTCTGTCACTCTCTCTCTCTCTCTCTCTCTCTCTCTCTCTCTCTCTCTCTCTCTCTCTCTCTCTCTCTCTCTCTCTCTCTCTCTCTCTCTCTGTAATTTGAGCTGAAATTTGATACTCTTTATATGTATAAGCCTATGTTTGGATTATTACTAGGAAGAAGATTCATTCTCCATCATGGGATGTTTGAGAATGGATGCTACTTAAGCAACTTACTGTTTTTATTTCAACTATGTCAAAAACGACTTTGTTTAATTTTTGCTAATGCACTGTCTATGATGGACTAATGTTATCTGTCGTCCTTGGAATTTCCCCTACCTCAGCACCTTAGTTTTCTTTCTCTTTAGTTTTTTCCAATTTACTTGTAGGGATAGAATTATACATTTAAATTATACCTATTATTCCTGTTGGTTCAAGAAGGCTGAGGCTCCATCTATTTTTAGTAAGACAGTTGATGACTAGACGTTTGAATTTGAATATATTCATTTGAAATATTAATATATTGTATTAAGATCTTAATACTAAAAATTATGAATTATTATTCTTTTAATAGTTGGGCATATAAAATTTGTTTTTATTTAAAAATTAATAAATATAAAATTTAAATAAAACAACAATTAATTTATACTACATCAATAATATATTATTAAAGAAATTATATGGTGGTTGGTGGTGGTGAGACTAACGATGGCAGTTGTTGAATGTCGGTTGGGGGTGGCTGATGGTGATGATTGTCGTGAGGATGGTGGTAGTTGATTTGTCACGACCCCAGAGGTCGTGATGGCAGAGAGACTAGGTAAGTCTATCAATGCGGAATAATCATAAATATCTGAAATAAATAAACTATAATTCAAATAATTACAACTCCCAAAATTCGGTAGAAATAAGTCACAAGTTTCTAAAATTTATTCTCAATATTTCTATGTATCAAGGTCTAAAGAAAAATAAGGAAGCAACATAAAATGATAGAAGGGGACTCTAGAGTCTGCGGATGCTGGCAGATATACCTCGAAGTTTCCGTGCGCAGGTAACTCACTGATGTTTAGACTGGTAAGATGTACTACTGCGACGTTAGGGGTGAAAGGGATGGAATAATGGTGAAATATCATGTTTATAGAAATTTTGAACGAATAGATATAAATACTTTGTTATAGATCTTAATCATTCAAAATTCGGATCTATTAAGTGGTTGAAAAATTAAAAAATAAATATACTGAATAACTAATATTCGTACCTTCGTTAAGTGCAACTAAATGAGCTATAAGACATTAAAGATTTTTCTTTAAGGCACCTTGATCACACAGTTTAGTTAATACTCTTATAATTACTAACTTATAAGAAGTTAATTAATATATCCTCATCTTATTAAGACTTAACCAAGTATAATTTGATGTAATGGGATAAATTTTAGCGTTCGGAAGAAACATAATCCGTTGCTGGCTGCCCCAACCCCCACCCCTACAAAAACAGAGAGAATATCTAGCTTGCTATCTCCTCGATCGGGTTCCTGTTTCATAACAGTCTTAGGTGAAAAGATCATTGTGGTGACCCAATCAGGAGATGCCAATTGCTAAATCCTTGTTCATTACTAGCATTGTCTTTATTCATGATTTGGCAAGGTATAACACTTAGCAGTTCATTGCATGAAGATTACATTTGCTACAACTTAGGCGCTGAATGAATTTAATTACTTGGATTTTATATTTTATGAAACTTCTATCTAATATATATAAATTACCATTACATGGAGTATTGGTAAAGTAGAAAATAAATAATAAAAAATCAAACTAAGGTGCAGAGATATCTCACTCTCTTCAAGAGATTGAGCTTCACTGCAGTAGAAATTAAACTTTACTACTAATAATATTAATTCTAATTGATTTGTTCCCTTCTGAATACAATGGTCCTATGGCGAGCGTCGCCTCACTCAAACTAACCTGCATAAATTGTTGATCACAATAACACTAATTTTAGTAAAACCCTCAATTTATAACTTATGTTGATGGAATATAAGGAGCTCACAGTTGAGGTCCAAGGGACATCCATGGATAACCACCACCCACGTAGTTTAGCTAATTTAATAGCCTTCGTTTTTAATATAACGGAGTATTTAGAAAATTTCTCCTTCTTACAATACTCTTTCATACATAGCTGCACCATTTTTTTTCATGCATCACAAGAGAGAGAAAACTCCTATGTATAGGTGTAGAAAGTTTTCAACAAAACAAATAAGTGTGTAGTGGTTAATTGGTACCATTTATGAGAAGGTGAGATCATAAGTAATGACTATTAATACACCTATTAGTAGATAAAAAGTAAAACGTCAAATGTTGGCTGATGAGTGTGATTTTTGGTAAAATAACTGGCGTATCGGCCGATATTGGTCGGAATTGTTAAAATATAAATAAATAAAAATATATTATTTCTGACCGAAGTCAGTCGATAATTTCAAATTTCTGCAGATTGCATATTGAAATTACCGACCGAAGTCCGACAGTAATTATGAATTTCTGGGTTTTTAATATGAGAATTCCAACCGAAATCGGTCGGTTTTCTGGAGAAAAATGTGGTAGAATATGATCACTTTTAAGCTACACCACCTGCCAATTACCACCAATAGCCATCCTATAATAGCAGCATTACATTGCTGCCATTCAATCACAATTAAACACTATAACAACGCCAACAACAACAATAATTAAACAAAACCAACAATAACAATTAACCAACAACACTCTTTTTCATGAGTATGACAAAGGCCACTTGGCTTATGGCACAGCCAATCGGTCGGCTACACGTTATGGGAACAAAGGTGTGATTATGCTTCATCAGATGTTCGCCAGTTGTCCCACCGGAAGCAGTGGCCGGGGCGGGGCAGGGCGGGGCGACCCGTTTGGCACTTGAGGCGGTGGAGTTTCTAGATTGGATATAAAAACAGCACAACATTCTTCTTTTTGAGGCTACAGAATATTGTGAGCGTTAGCACCCAAAACGCTCTGAAGCTTCTAAGAATTCCCTAAACGATTTAGGGCAAGAATCAAAAGTGAACTTGGTGAAACTTTAAGTAAAGGGGCTCGTGATCATCACTGTACCATCTATATTCTTGTGGTACTGATTTTGGAAATTCATTTGGAAGTAAATATAATCACTATAGAAATGAAGAACTCAGAACTCAGGAAGCGTAGGTGATCCTTCAAAAAGATATGTAAGGCGACTTTCTTTCATTGGCATGTCTTGATATAAGCGTTCCCTTATGAACAATCCTTCTGTTGTAAGACTGAGTTGTTCTAAGCCTTTCGTGATAAATGATATTCATGTTCTTATTCATTCTTTGTTAGTGACATTTTCTTTCAAATTTGAGATGTTCCCGGATGGTGTCATGAGGTCATGAAATGTAATTCACTCTAGGTCTAACCTTGACATCTCCGGAAATTGGTCTTGTAATGCACTTATATATATGCATTTGCTCTATTATACTGAGTCGTGCTATAATCGACCGGGTATGACACTTATTGTGCAACCACTTATCAATTAGGTATGATGTGACAAGATGTGAAATATTATCGAGTCCTCTACGAGGCCGGGTACGGAACAATGTGATATGAAATATTACCGAGTTCTTTTGAGGCTAGGCACAACCGAGACCTCCTGAGGCCAGATATGATGTGATAAAAGCATGAGATTTTACTGAGTCCTCTATGAGGCCGGGTACGACATGAGATGATATGCCCCAAAGAGTGGGTGAATGATATTATATTATATGTAATGCATAGCCCCAATTAGTGGCTTAAATTTTACAAAACTTGCATATATTCATGATTCATGGTTAATGCACTGCACACCCCAGTGACTTGTCTTCGGCATTCAGGTTAAACTTGTGTGTTTATATCTCTTCTGTTATACCTTTGGTTTACATACATTGTCCCTCATAAATACTCACTACATCTTTTGTACTGACGCCCCTTTCTTCTGGGCGATGTGTTCATGCCCACAAGTAAATATAGACCCGGTGACGTTCCTTCCCAGTAGAGTGCATGTTTCAGTGGTTGGTTGTCATACTCCACTTCTCCGGAGTAGCTGTACAAAAGTCGATAGGTATTGGAGTATGTGTCTCTGTCATTTTGGGTATGGTGAGACCCTATTCCGACCAAGTTGTATATTATGGTACTCTTAGAGGCTTGCAAGCTAGTGTCCAGTGTGTACGTAAATATAGCTACGACTCTATTGGCAATGGTTGTGTATAATACAAAATGTTGAAAGCTTCTTCCATAGTTAGTTGTGAGTTTTTTACATTTTGGTGTTATATTTGGAGGCCTTGTTGGACTCAGACTTCAACGTTGAAAGGTCTAAGTATGGACATTGGTTCGCACGGGCCTTCGGGCGTCGTGTGCCAGTCGTACCTCCCGAGGTTGGAGTGTGACAGTTTTAGCGCAAAATGCTTTTATCTTTTCACAAATGTATATTTTAATAATTTCAACTGCTACCAAAAGAAAATAAAACGAAAAAATGTACAATTATCTAAAAGAAAATTTTCAAAGTAAATCTCTAGAGATACGAGTGATGTGAAAAATTCCTTCAAGATGTAAAGTAGTAGCTCTGCTGATAAATTACTGCCAAGCAATATTAGCTTGTTACTCTTCTCGACATTTATTATATTGGTGAAAAAGCTTAGAAAAAGGGTAGGGTTTTTTAATGATAATAAGTTGTTAAAATTTAAATTACATGTATCAGCAAAGATGAAGTTTGGTTTTCGGACCTGAACTATATAAACGAAATTAGGGGTGTTCAAACCGAATCGGAAAACCGCATCAAACCGAAAAGCCAAATCAAACCGATTAAAAACCCGATTAGTTTTGGTTTGATTTGGTTATTGAGTAAAAAAATCTGAACCAAACCGACATATAAATATATAATTTTTATATTTATTTTTAAGACTTTATATAGAAATTTTTCCAAAAAATATCTAAAAATATTTGTGTTCCTCTCATGAGACGTAATATTTAATAGAACTATAAAGTGCATCTATTGTTAGTTACTTTGAATAATGGTATTTATCATTATTATTTTATCAAGTGTTATTGAAATGCGTCAATCTTTTTGTTCTTTCATATTCATGTCTATTAAACTCTTGTATCTTTTTCGAATTTGAAATGGCATTTTATTTGTAATTTTAAAACTAAATAGAACATATCATTATTTAGGTTTTATATTATTTTTGTGTTTAATTATTAAACGCAGGTAACCTTTAAAGCTTACATCAACGAAAAATTATTGTTAGACGACTAAGAAAATTACTGTCATGTGTTACTAAAAAAATTCTTCCATATAAATATTTTAATAGATCATCGTTGACAGATTTTTTGATTTTTACTAAACAAATATTTACTTATCAAAATTTTAACAAAGTAAGATTGAAATAATATTCATGTAAAAAAACCTGAAAACCTGAGGGGAAAAAACTGACCAAACCAAACCGATATAATTGGATTGGTTTGGTTCTGATTAAAACTAACCCTGGCTCACGTACACCCCTAAAGGAAAAATAGAACATATAACCTCTTAGCAAAATAGAAAATTCAGAGAATGGCAACTCAGGCACCTATATATTAAATAAAAAGAAAATTAGTGTAACAATCAAGCCCCGAACTAGTAAAAATAATTCTGGAAATTTGGCATGAGGAGAGTTACTTCTTGCTACTATCACAAGGATCACTACATATATTTCGAAGTCATAAAATGATTTCTTTGAAAACCCAAGATCTTACAAAATGCCACAACGACAATTTGATGTTCAATTGAGACGCCTTTAACGTAAATACAGTGATTCAAGAGACTCTAAAAGAAAAAGGAAAAAAGAAAGACTGTAAAACGAACACGAAATGTGAAAAATGTTTTAGAAAGTCCTCGAGTATTTTCTGATCTCATACATTATGGACGAAATTGAAACAAGATCCTTGTTCAAGGTAGACCCACCATTTACCCTCTTTATACAATCAGAAAGCCTCGTATAGTAAAGAAGAAGTTGAGTTAATGCAGCTCTTAGAATGTCCATACCGCACAGGAAATTGCTGAAAGAAGTAATGACATCATTGTGCATAAGTTCAATAGCAGCTTTCCATCTGCTTGCAAAGTCCTTCACAATCAGCTCGACTTCAGCAATAGTTATAGGTCTTTCAGTGCTAGTACTTGAATCCTCAGCTGCAATGAGATGATTAGTTAGGGAATATGAGCAGGTTTGAGATAAAATGATATGCATAGCATTTTCTTCAACACTTACATCCTCTCGTCTTTACAAACTTGATAAGATCGCTAAAATGTTCCAAGAGCAGTTCTTCCTGCAATAAAATTGGACATAAGGACAATCTCTTCAGCTGAGTATATAATTATTAAGATGCTCCAATATTGATCCTACAATCAAGAACAACAGGCTTGACATGCAAATTTTTCAAGAAATATACAGATGCTGATCTTAATGTTGATTAGAAAACCCTACTGATTCCATCTGCATTAAGGAAACTCATAAGGTATGCACTTTGTGGTTGCGATCATCACCAAGTATTTATGTTCTTGGTAATTAATCAAGTACTCATTACAAATATAGATAAACGGTGTTATGAATTTGTTTCTCTATTCCAAAAACTAATGTTTTCTAGAAGAACATAATGAAATTCTATATAGTAATGTTTCTGGAAGAACGTAATGAATTTATTTTCAACTGATCACCTAACTGATACTCGAAGAAAAAACAGAAGTGGGGTTGATTTTTGTCAAAGAAACATAACTATAATATTTCAACATTCTTGAAATGCAAGAATTGAAGTGTATGCTCACCACGAATATGGCTGTGTTATTCTTTAAAAGCTCTTCAAAGTGCTGCTGAATTTTCCCACCATCTGGACCAGCTTCCTGAAAGCAAATGAAATTACTATGATTTAGACTACCAAATTACATAATATTTGCTCATCAAATGTTCTGACAAGAGTGAGTTGCTCTAGTGGTGAGCACCCCCCACTTCCAACCAAGAGGTTGTGAGTTCGAATCACCCCAAGAGCAAGGTGGGGAGTTCTTGGAGGGAGGGAGCCGAGGGTCTATCGGAAACAGCCTCTCTACCTTAGAATAGGGGTAAGGTCTACGTACACACTACCCTCCCCAGACCCCACTAGTGGGATTATACTGGGTTGTTGTTGTTGTTGTTGTTGTTGACATCAAATGTTCGATAGGAATTATAAAATATTATTACACTTCAGGTTTGATGGTTCGCTAAACTTCAGAGAAAAGGAACTAATGCCATGGGCATGCCATTATCTGGTATGAGCACTGCCCATTGACATTCATGACATTGACTTGCACTTTCCATGATTCATTTCTTGTTTATCAATGGAAAAAAAAATTAACTTCTAACCTTCAGAACCGATATTGTCATGTCATAATTGTTTATAAGGAACACTGTTTGCAGCTTTTGTTTTGCAAACATTTGGGCTAGCTTGACAAGCAAGTCATCAACAGCCATTCTGAGTCTCTCCAGATTCAGTTCAAGCTACAATAATTAGAAGCAAACATCAAAGCCAGTTTAGTGCAAGTTAACCATAAGTAATGAAAGTGAACCTTCATGTTCTCCAACCTGCCCATCTCCATATTCTACATTAAGGTGAATAAGGGAAGCAGTAAACTCAGCATAGCGCCTTATGACATAATGTGGGTGAACATCATCTTCCCAGAGAGTCCTGATATTGGCATTTCGCAAGCTGTTGAGGTGCAAGTCAAAGACCATCTTGAAACGTGGCCATAAAGCAATATTGACCTGCCCAGATTTATTAAGAAACAAGTTAGAGTAGTCCATTGTAAAGGAAAGACAACTACAAGAAAACATTAATCTTTTGTTCCAATGTCATCAGGTTATATTTTCTAAGATCTTATGGAGTTGCCGTACAGTTATATTCACCTTTTCTAAGATCTGACATATACAAGAGTTATGGTCTCGCATCTGGCAGGATAGCTATATCGATACATGTGTACATACGTACGTACGTACGTACATACATATATGTACATATAAATATGTATGCATACATTAGCTATATATACACGAAAAATTCGGGTTTCATATCTGGCAAATTAGCATCAGAATTCCTTATTCCTCACTTTGAATGGTCCATCTGACCGCATTCTATGAGCAAGCTGTTTAATTCTCTCTTTACTGATGAAGGTAACCCTGCCGACATCATGAATCCAAGTGCGGAAGGCAACTTTTCAAATTTCTAATGACCCTTCAATATCTTGAAACTTTGACACTTTAGTAAGTTCATTCAGATAAATGTCCAGGTACCATGAATTAAACATAGATAAATCACTGGGAATTGGGCTTCACAGATTAATCAATAAAGCAAGTTCCAATTTCACTGCTGCGACATTAAAATTTATCATTATGTCAAGCTGAAGTCAGATTATGACTGAGAATACAGTTTGAGTTATGAATAGAAAAGCAATAACTAGATAATTGATTTCACTGTACTTTTAAGTCATTTAAGTTAGCGCAGTCGACCTGATAATAAATACTTCATGCCAAGATGAAATTTTATATCCCAAACTAATAATACTCTATTCTTTCAGCAAATTAAGGAAATCATGTAAGTCCCAGATATGCTTGAGCAGCAGTTCTTTTTCCACATCACAGTCGCAACAAATGGGAAATAACATTTTAAAAACACACATCACCACAACAGAAGGCAACAGGCGAAAAATAAGTATCTGCATAAATTAACAGCTGCCAACTTCTTTTAGTTCAACTCGACATAAGTAGCCTCACATGCTAGTGCGAAAGGAATAAACAGGGATATTCAGTATTGATGCTCATGACTTCAGGTGGTAAAGTTAATAGAGGGATACATACCTTGTCTAAGTATGAATCCAGGCATGGAATTCGGCGCCTGGACATTACAAGCTGAGAAAGAAAAAGCAGTACTTCAATAAAAAAACATTCCAACAAGATCAAAAAAGCCATACATTTAATTTCAAGTTCACAAAAACACAAGTTGGCATGCTATAGGACAATTACACACGTGCATTAAGCACATAATTCCTCACTGAATTTTTAAATAAAAAAATCAAAGTTAACATTTTTTCTAATGTTCAGAAAATTAGAAGGAAAAACGTTAAAAGAATATCTGACATTTCATTTGCTTATTATGTTTGAGATATCCCCAAGTCGCAAAGCACTTTTACCACGTGCTCTTCTATATCTTTTTATTTTTCTTTTTTCTTTTTTCTTTTTGAGTTAAAAGTGTAAAAGATCATTGAAATTCAAACAGATCCTACAATCAAATTTCTTTCAGGAATAGGTGATGCAGATGTATAAGCATGACTAACTAGTTTGAAGAAGATTATAAGTGCAATGAAGTTAAAGCTCAAGTTGATTCTAAGATGGCTCTACACTTGAAATAGTTTGAAGTATCTAATGTAGTATTAGTTTAATCCTTTTTATATTTCACTGTGGTATTTTGAATTTGGAATGCCTTTTTCTGTGTATGGTTTAGGGCCATCTTGTTTCTCGCAAATTTTGCAGCATGGAACAATTTGGAAGCCAAAATAATGAAAAAACTAGAGCAAGAGTCTACTTGCAAAAGATGTGAAACAAGTACAAAATCAAACAGCACATCTTTCTGGGATGTTTTTTCTGCAAACACCATCTTTCGAGTTGGAGATGGAGCAAGGTCAGGTTCTGGCATGACACCCGGTTTGCATGCCACCTGGTTTGTACACTCCCCTATGGAAGATTCATTCCCGGAGTTATACAGTTTTGTTACCAACACTGAGGCTGTTATTGCAGATTACAAAATATCAGAGTTAGGACATCACTTTTTAGAAGGAATTGAAATGATTGGGAGATGGTAATAATGTTTACTATGCTACAACAACTCAATGGCCTTGCACTGCCACAGGCTGGTCCAGATTGTATCATGCTAAACACATTGGGGATTAAATGGTCTATGCCCAGAATCAATGAGTTTATCAAATGCTGGAAAAGAAGGGATTTAAGCAAGTCATACGCTACCATTTGGAATTCTATCCATCCGGTGGGCTACATGGAGTTACTGCACTTTTGTTACTACACACCAGCATTCTCTTTTTGCTGGATATACTTATAAAATCCTTATTACTTGTCCCAAAATAAATCAATGAGTAATCCTTTCTTTTAAAACTTGGCCGCAAACATTGTCTAGAGGTCCTTGACTTATCAGAAGGATCTAATTTACCCTGCTATGTTTTCTGCATGTTTTCGCAAAAAAGGCATATGCATATGTTGTATTTAGGACGGATTCGAATCAACAAAATGTTGTAAAATCTTTCATATTTCTTCTTTCCTTCTCCCCCACCCCCTTCTTCTCTAGCTTCTACCATTCTTCCCTTTTAGTTCTCCTTCTCTTTCTTCATAAGTTCAAAAATTCTGTATTCTCACAATATCTGGATTGATCTACATTCAGAAATTTACCCAAACAAACCCACAATCAATTTTCAAACCAATTGCAGGTTCCATAGTTTCCAGCGTCAAATCTAAATTTGTTCCAAAATCTTTTTGAAAATTTAGGTGCATGATGCTAATGTGTGAAAGATGGATCATCAAAAGGTCCAATGCATAGCCCATTGGGTGCTTCAGGAATTAGATATCACTGCTTCCACCTTCTCCTTAAACATTGCAATTTTTCTAGAAAGAAGAATTTACATGCTTAGAATGATTCCTTTATAAACAAATGAATTACAAATACGTATGATTTCAACTATAACCAAACGCATATAAAAACATAGAGGAAAGAAGTTAAAAGGCAAGGGCCTGTTTATTTTGGATAAGTATGATTTCTACTATAACCAAATGCATTTGAAAATGCGAAGGAAAGGAGTAAAAGAGTAAGGGCCTGTTTATTTTAGATAATTTCAATGCATGCAATGAGTATTTCTGATTAAATCAATTTCGTCGGCAACGGTCATTGTTTGGTTATCATATGAGAAAACCAATTTACAAACTTATGCGGACACATTTCAAATGCGAAAATTATTGAATAATTCATTAATTTGTCTGTAGTAAGAATTAGTTTACAATGAACAGTGCAGACATATTGAGATTCCGATGCCAAGTATTTAAGAAGATAGACAGACACCTCGTTATTTAAGCCTGTGAACATTGCGCTTCGAATTTGCTACACACAATGACGGAACTGATATTTGTCATCTGTCTTCCAAAGGACTACCAAAGACAATGATCAAGAGAGTCACAGAACTTTGCCAGACACATTCAGAGAATTTGAATACCTCTGATGCATTATGGGATTTTAATGCTTGCTGGATTTTCCAAGTACTGAAACAAGCTAATACCAGAATGTACAAGCTTATGATATACCTGGTGCTGGTGTATTATGCGAATCATGAGCAACAGGCCAATTGCATCAAAACTGTTGGGAAGGATTGTACCGAAATGCTCATCAATTACTGAAAATGGGCCTGATAACACACAAATGTTTATCATAAATCTCATTGAAAATCAGGAATTTGGATATTCCTATCAAAATCAACAATTGCAGGTTTCAGCAAGGCATTGAAGGTGTTTGACAATTATCATAATACAGACTGGGAGAGGTGGATCTCAACTTAATTAAACAGATTAAAGGCAGCACTAGATATGGTTGATAATTCCAAAGAACTGCATGTACGACTTCTGTTAAACACGTTGATCTGGGGTCGAAAAGATATTTTTTTGATAAGGAGGTAAACAAGATATTTTTGAAATTTGATATTTATTTACAGATACGTACTTAAGAAGCATAACCATGATATTTATCTTCAGCAATGGTACATGACAAGGAAATGTTTACTCTAAGTCACTACTTTACATACCAGCAAAAATATCATAAAACATCGCCTCTTCTCCAAAGAAATCATCACAGAAAAGGTACCTAATCAAATAAAAGGAAAGACAGTAGTCAATACATAATTAACCAGGAAAGCTACCACTATATCTTGTCAGTAGGAAAGCTAAACTGTTTCACAGTGAGTTACAATTCAGAAGCACAGGAAGTCAAATAGAGAAAATCGTAGAGTACTCAGAAGAAGCAGTATCCATGAGCAGCTTGTGCAAACTCCTGAAAAGGAACTCATACGGATATTTTTTTGAGCTGGCTTCGGCAATATGTGGAATTAGTGGAGGCTCATCAATCTCCTGGATAAAGAGGAAAATATATGCCATAAGTACATCATCTAATCATCATGTACATTCCTATAACAATTTTCTTATTTTCCTATTGATGGGGTGGACCAGGCCAGATCAAGAGTTAATCGAAAACCGACTATGCACATAGTTTCTTGTAATATAATTCCACCAGTTCTACCCAGTCTTTTTAGTGCTAGCGGAGCTTAACTAGTGGCTATTGCACAATGCCGAAAGGGTTTTGATATAATGGGAGTATTGTCAAAACCTCTAGCAAACGGCTTGAAATTAATTCTAAAAGAACCTATTTCACCAAGTAGGTCTGATTTCTCCTCCTTTTTTTAGAATGGCTCCCAACGATCTATTTATCCAAATCTGGTAGCTCAGAGTGTTGTACCTTTTAATTATTGTGTGGTATTTTTTCTGAGAAGGTAATTATCGTGTGGTATTGAAGGCTATTTTATTTGTTTCCACATAACACCAGGTGTTTTTGGAATTATATAGCAAGTGTTTTCAGTAATATGGAGCATATGTTTGATTGCCTTCAAACTTAGACAAATATATTCGAGGATCAGTGTTGCAAATGTTGAATGATCTACCCCATACAGGTGTAAGCCAGGCTAAACTCTGTATGGAGATGTACCAAAGAGTGAATCTAGATGGAACTCATATGGTTTTAAGAGCTTTTCCTTGGTCTTCATAGGAGATTTCAAATAGAGCTTCCTCCTAACAAGGAAAACTAATACAAAAAAAATGACATTCTTAAGACTAAAAAAGCCCAAGAACGCAAAACAGCATACAATATATGATTTAAAGCACAGTAATTAGGTAGGTTCCTTCTTTTTTTTTTACAAGGAACCTACCTAATTACCGTGCTGGAAATCATATATTGTAGGTTCCTTCACTTCATCATCTTGAATAATTATGATTTATTACAAAGAGACTTCACATTATCTCCATGAAGTGTCCGTCAAGACCATACCCATCTGAAGTTAGTACTGGTGAAATAGTCACAAACTTTCATCCTACTATCAGGCAACGCGTCGTCCCAAAGCACCCAAGTCAATCAAAGTTATCTTCAAACTAAAATATAATTCTACCAGAGTGAAACTTACATAGACCTTCACAGTTGACCAACCTAAAGCACACTCAATAATGCACAAAATTCATAAACCCTGCAATCGGAAGAATTCTACATAGTTTGGTCATAAGATCAAGGCTCAAAGAAAGAAGATGAAGACCTTGAGAATGTTGATCCTTTCTCCAAGAGCAAAAACTGCAGACCTGTTCTTCAACGGTTCTCTTCCTCTTGAAAAAAGACCTGTGCTTCTGGTCTCAACACCTATCAGATCATTAGATGTTGCTATATCCAACTGCAGCTTTTCTAAAGCTTGAATATAAGCGCGGAACTGCGCACTTAGAACCTGTGACACAAAGTTTTTCTTTAGTACTCATGAAATGACACGATCTCTTGTTAGCCAAAAAGCATATTAAGTTTCTTATCACCAGTACATTTGATAACTATGATTCATAACAATCTAAAGAGCTTACAAGATGAAGGATCAGCTCCAATATTAACTATAATACAATCAATTAGGTTACCTAGACCTATGACAATAGCTTACGACTGATTAAACCAAAGTCATACCAAATTTTAGGAGACAGGATTCCAACATATTAAGTCATGTATGCAATGATAGCTAATGATTGGAGACTCCAAAATATCACATACTAAGTCATAGTTCAAGTGTTGTCAATCTGCAAATTAGATCTTCTGAGTGTTGCATCAGCTGTTCAACTTGTCGGTATCAAGTTTTCTCCATCCCGAGGAAAATGATGTAGTATATTATTAATATTTATGTATTAGCTAGAAATAAAAAAATATCTTTTTTTAGATGGATAAAAATAAGATTTTATCTGGTCTTACTAGTTAGGGATAACTATCAGGGGCGCACCTTTATATTCCTCAATCTACCTAAGAAGCATTCTCTTAAGAAAATGTGGATGTTACAATATTTTTATTACTCATAAAACCATGCAAATTGCTAAGTTGATGACCATGGGTTCTTGGCCCCTCAATACATATTGCATGTCTTTTATTTCTATTTCTGTTTTTCCCCTGCAACAAACTTCTCTTCACAACTCTCTGCTTCAGTACTATTGTCAAAACCCTCTAGAGCCACACAACTACTGCCATCATGCTATTGCCTCCATTCAAACACCGGATGAGTACAAAAAAGGTTTCAAGCTTAACACTAGTGTGCACAAATGACTAATCCCTAAAAGTATTTCAACCACCCGTATATTGTTTGCTATACCTGCCTCCATACACCATGGAGAAACATTTACAACTCATATACAAACATGTAAATCTTTAAGGGTGTGCACTAAAGGAACCATCAAGTTAAGTACTCATGTACTTTGACATTAAATTCTCCCTTTTCAGGAGCTACCGCATCTATCTCAACGAGTTAGACATCCAACAACTTAATTCTTTAACCTTTGACTCATTGACCATATAAACTGGCCAAATTATAAAAATTTACTCATTACTATAAAACTTAACCTTGTTCATTGTGTCAATATATGCTGCTCGAACCTCAAGATACACCTCCTTGCCATGCTCCTTGAGAAAGGAAAGGATATACCTGCAAAAGTAAATGCAACAATAACCTTCAAGTGTATCTATGGATAAATCCAGGAAATTGAAAGATAAAAAGAAAATTGGAATGAAGAATCGAGGCTGACGATAATCATAAATTAGGTAAGGACCTGTTGACAAGAGCTCATCCTTTTTTATAGCATTTAAGTAGACCACAATAGCAATAACAGATATTGCCCTCAAAACCTCCAGGATAGCACATAAAATTTGGTGTGTGTTTGTAAATAACTTTTTAACATTTTCAAAAAGTTGTCAAGAACCTGTTTGGTTTTTAATTTGTTTACAGAACATCCTTTCACAAAGTTCACAAAGAAAGAATTTCCTGTGAAGAATAAAAGGGAAGCACTTTTCAATTAAAGAGTTCTTCTTCTACTAACAAACCACTCACAAATTTTCGTAACTACTCGAAAAAACTGCAACTATCCAACCATGTTTTCTTTCTGAGCAAACTTTTTCTACAATTTTTTTTTTTTCAAAAAGAAGGATAAGAAATTCTCATACATAAAATGGGAATGCGTCATTTATACCAAAAACAAATACAAAGGAAAGAAAGAATGTGAAATAAGTTCCTTAAGTGCCACAACTTCGTTATCATAGTTCTGGAAAAGTAAAATTTTGTTAGGAAATTTTCTAGCATCCTGACAGCTGACAGGAAAATAACAGCTAAAAGACAGTACTGCAGTTAGGAACACTAATAACCGAACACAAAATGCTGTTATCTATGAATTGTTTAACGGGACAATTTATATCTACTGTACTTCTTGGATGCCGCCAATCAGGTAAACTGTATAGAAGAAATGCATTGTGAACAAAATTATTAGCTAGTTTTCAGAAGTCAGGAATAGAGGAATTAGTGATACAACATATGATAGAAACCAGAAGAAAACACAACTCACTTATATTTTAGAAGGATACTCTGCTGAAGGATCTGGATATTAGTTTTGGGTTTCCTTAAAGCGTATAGCTTCTGAACCATGAAATCAAATACCTAGAAGAGGAATAGGGAAGTGGATTAGATAGGACATGACTAAAATGCAACTGAAGTCTAAAGTTGTGAACAATTCAATCAGATAAGTAATCAAATTACAACAACTAGTCTTACTTATCTTAGACAGGGTACCTACTGGTGACCCAATTATGAGTCAAAAAGCACAACCCCCAAAGAACAACGTATGTGTTAAACAAACATAATAATTAGACATCATGTATCACCTTACAAGGGGACAACTTTGTTGTAAGGGTGGGGGAGCATAAAAAAGAAACATACGCGAAATCTGATGCACCGATGTCCAAGAAGATATAATTGTTTCCTTTTCTCAGCAAAGAAATGTGGGGAAGTGCTTGAGAGACTGAGCCACACAAGAGGTTCAGATAGAGCGAAGGCGGCGATGAAAATTGAAATGGCAACTAAGGCTGATAGAAATTCAGAATATGATGGTAAAATGTTTCAAATACTGATATGTAGAATTAAACTGGGGGGCTACTCATCGAACAGTATAAGAAGGATCCTCAGAAAAGATTTCAACAAGAAAAAAGAATGCGCAGCCTATTACTCGATAGCAATCTCCAGAAAAGAATACGTGTTCCCAGAGCAGATTGAATGAGAGATCAGATGCAAATTAGAAGAACTCAGGAAAGCTGAGAAATTTTAGGGCGATTTCAACAGGTCTTGCAAGAGATAGAAGGTTAATAATGGTCCTGACGGAGAATTAGGAGAGGAAAAAGGTTCACAGAATGTGGTGAAGCAAAGACACAAAGCTACAAAGCTTGACAATAGTAGGATGTGCAGCAAATAGATGTGAATTGGGTATTAATGGTTGATGGGATGAATTGAGTAGTTATAAATGCTTCCATAGGGTTTTTTTTTTTTGAGAAGGGAAGGAATATAAACGCTTCCATAGAGTATTTATGAACTATTGAAGGTATAAAACCGAGTGAGTTGAGACTCCATTCTAGACAAGAATTGTGAAATGGTGAACTAAGGCAAGGTTCAATTTTGATAAATTGAATTTGTTGATCATACATTAATGTGTTGAGCCTATTATTTGTATATTGTGATTGTTGAATATGGACAAAACTTGAGAAATCGAATTTTAGCTGATGAGTTGGTGATGGCTATGTGGTGGTGGCTAGTGGTGGTGGCTAGTGGTGATGGTTGTGCAGTGGTGGTGGTTGATGCAGGTGCTGGTGGTGGATGGTGGTGATGGTTGTGCAGTAGTAAGTGAAGGTGGTGGCTGGCGGTGGAGGTTGATGCTAGTTATGCAATTATAGTGGACAGAGTGGTGATAAAGGATCACTTATTTCATGAATATTTAAGTGAACAATATTTTAATGATTTTCAAACTTTGTACAATATCTGAATGAAGCAGACATATTCGGAACAAGTGGTTGTAAAAATAAAGAGAAAAAAGCCAAATGCACTTAATGGACTAAGATTTAAACGATTCATATTCAAATCCTGTTAAGTGGAAACAAATAGAGCCTAAGTAGGCTTACGTTGATGCAAACTAAGGCCCAGTATTTTTGCATTTAATGAAGGTCTTAATATGAATGATTCAGCCTCTGACCATCAAGTGCTTTTGTTTTTTCAGATTTAACCACTTCATGGGTCTGAATAGATCTAAGTCATTCAGATCTTAAACAGAGTCTTAGTATTATTAAGATACTATTGAATTAAAGAATTTTCCGAAAATGAACTTTCACCACCATTCTGTCCACAATCACCACCAGCCATAATTGCACAACAACAACCACTATCACCACTACCAACCACTACAACCAACCCCTCCACCACTGGTAACAACCACTGCCAACCACCATTACCAAGGCACCACCGTCAACCTCCACTACTGTCAGTCACTACCATAACAACCACCTTCATCATCACAATTATCACTATTGCCAACCACTACCAGCCACTACCATCGCTATTGTTGCCACCAACCACTACCAGTAATCACTGTTAAAGCCACTACCACCACTATCGCCACTATTGCCCACCACCAGTACCACTATCATCAACCACCACCGAAGCCACTACCACCAACAACCTCCACCATCACAACTTCCACCATCGCATAGCCACCACCACCACTACCAACCAGCATTACTTCTGCACGACCACCGACACGAGCCACCACTGCCAAATACCTCCATCAACCACCACCTTACAACCTAATATTTTGTGGAATATAATATAACCTCCACGGTTAAAGCCACCACCACTATCGCCACTATTGCCCACCACCAGCACCACTATCATCAACCACCACCGCAGCCACTAACAGCAACAACCTCCAGCATCACAACTTTCACCATCGCATAGCCGCCACCACCACTACCAACCAGCACTACTTCTACACAACCACCGACACGAGCCACCACTGCCAAATACCTCCATCAACCACCACCTTACAACCTAATATTTTGTGGAATATAATATAACCTCCACGGTTAAAGCCACCACCACTATCGCCACTATTGCCCACCACCAGCACCACTATCATCAACCACCACCGCAGCCACTAACACCAACAACCTCCAGCATCACAACTTTCACCATCGCATAGCCGCCACCACCACTACCAACCAGCACTACTTCTACACAACCACCGACACGAGCCACCACTGCCAAATACCTTCATCAACCACACACCTTACAACCTAATATTTTGTGGAATATAATATTTAAATTATTTTATTTGAATCTTATATTTATTAATTGTTTATAAAAGATAAATTATAAACATTCAGATATTGAGAAAACAAACAATTTTAATCAATCAGTATCAGATCTAAATACAAAATTTTAATATTCAGATATGTATTCAAATACATACATCTTAATATTAAAAAATGTCCCCTCAGCCACTTCTCCAATGTTTTAATGGAAAAGTACAGAAGGAACAAGAGTTGGAGGAGGCTAAATAAAAACTTATTTTTGAAAATGCACCTTACTTTGTGTCCATTTATTGGTTTTGGATATGTTAAATCAATGAGGCTATGGAGTCTAGCTTTGCATCCTGAAATAGAAATAGACAAAATCGAAATGATTGTTGGTAGTGGTCGTGGTTTGTCCATACTGGACTTCTTCTGAGTTCTGACAATTAATTGTTGTGTCAAACAGAAGTTAGACATCCCTTGCCTTTCTTTTATTGGGTTTGGGGTGGCGGATATAAATGAGAAGGAATATCAATCAAGACTGCTCTCTGTATGTTTCCAACTAGATTCTGAGCAAATGAAATTTCTGAAGTTCAACATGAAAGCTTATACTATGACACAAGGGAAAAGAGACCCCTGTAGGAGCTAGTCCACTATTTTTCTCCAGTGGTGTTTGTTTCGGTGCTCTCTCTCTTTTAACACTTCACTCTTTTGACATTAAAGGGTAACTTTTGAATGTAACTTCCATGATTAAGGTTGATTTCAATTTCAGTTGAGAACAGGAAAAAAGAGATAGAAGACAAGGAGAAATTAAAACTAAGGTAGTTGACAAGGAGAAATTAAAACTAAGGTAGTTGTCTTTGATACATTTTTTTTTTTTAGAAGGTAATATTTGTTGTATATATATTAACTGCACCAAAGCTAGTACAGTCATCCATAATTACAAAAAGTGGTACAGGAAGATATTAATCATTAATCTACTTACAAGGATCCTCAAACAACAACAAACCCAGTGTAATTCCACAAGTGGGATCTGGGGAAGGTAGTGGGTACGCAGCCTTATCCCTACCTTGTGCAGGTAGAGAGGCTATTTTCGGTAGACCCTCGGCTTCAACCAAGCATGCAAATCACAACAATATAGAGAAGAAATGCAGTAGTGTAAAAGTCAGGAAAGCAGTAACAATAGCAAGGAAGTAGAACAACCAAAACACAAGCACATCAGGTAGTCATACATTTTTAAGAATATGAAAATACTAGAATAATGCTACTATTACCGGAAAGAAAGGAAAGGCGCGAAACTGCTTACTAGCCTTCTACCCTAATCCTCGCCCTCCACACCCGCCTATCAAGGGTCATGTCCTCGGTAAGCTAAAGATGTGTCATTTCCTGCCTAATCATCTCTCCCTAATACTTCTTCGGCCTACCTCTACCTTTCCTCAAACCCGCCATCGTCAATCTCTCACACGTCCTTACTGGGGCATCAGGACATCTCCTCTTCAAATGCCCGAACTATCTCAACTTCGCTTCCCGCATCTTGTCCACGGCGGAGGCTACACCTACCTTGTCCTGAATATCTCCATTCATGACCATGTATCTCCTAGTATGTCCACACATCCATCTCAGCATCTTCATCTTGGTTACTTTCATCTTTTGAACATGAGAGTTCTTGACTGGCCAACACTCCGCCCCATACAATATAGTCGGTCTAATCACCACTTTGTAGAAGGATCCTCAAACATCAAAAAAAAAGCTGTCTTTGATACTTGATCTCTAGTTATAGCCAGAAAATGATTTTTCATCAAAAAAACAAAGGCATTTAAACTGCCAGCAAGTTTGCTTTGAAGAAGTGCAGTCAGTTCTGAATTAAGCTAATGTTCTCCCGGGATGGATGTCACTGTATCAAAATTTTCTTCCTTTTGAATCTTTTCATTGACAAAGTCAGGATCATAAAATCATGAGTGTGTTTGAGCACTACACTGAATAAAACCAAAGACATCCATGTGTTGGTTATGCTATCTAAAAGGTTTGTGGTTAACCCAAAAGCTCCTATCAATGGTAAAAATCAAACTTAAACATGCTTAAAGTACTCAGCATCTACATACCTTGGAGACCGCTTTCTGCCGAAGTTTTTCTAGCTCAGGCTGAACATCTTTCAGAGCTTTTGATGTTTTAACCATGGGATCTGCATCTGCAAACTTCAGCTTTTTACTCAAAATTTCAAGAGTCCTCATGTATTCCTCATTAACCTATAAACATTCAGCGTTGGATGGTTGGTTAGAAGCCATGAGTGAACTAGGCATTCAAATATGCAATATTTGAAAATTAAACATCTGGCAGAATGTTGTGGTAGAGAGGCTATAGAGAGAGGTCATACTTGGTAAATACTTTATAACGAAAAGTTAAAAAAAAAAAAAAAAAAGAGAGAGAAAGAAAAAGAGATGATGCATTATAATTTCCCTGATTCAGAAAAGCTGGTGATAAACTAGAAGAAGCTTCTCAATCAACTGTAGCTATGCAATACCAGCAAGTCAAGACCGAAAAAGAAAGGAGTGAAAAAAGATGAATAAAAGGGAGAAGAGAAGAGAAAAAGCCGGTCCAGCGCTAACACTCAACTATCCAAAAGAAGAGTTTTTTTATGGTATGGTGCATGATAAGTTCACAGGAGACAAGGGAAAAATGATGAAACAAGGGAGAAACGAGAAAGTCAATCCAGCCGCCAGCGTTAAGCCGTTAACACTACCAAGAAGAGCTTTCTATGTGAGTTGATAAATCCGTAAGCAAGGCCACATAAAAACCAGAAACAGTTAAAATAATAAGCACTTTGAAGAAAAGACTAAACCCAGCTATTACACAGTCACTTGCCCGACATGTCACATCATTGTCCTCAAAATCATATGCAAGACTATGCCAACCCATTCACCAGCTATACTTAAATTTCGAATTTGCCTCTTCCCACATTGTTATTCTTCTTTGACTTAGACCCACTATAGGATACAATGCAAGAATAAATATGAGGAACAAACAAACAAGGAGCCAAAAGTACCTCCCCATCAACAATTATGTCTATCATCCTTGGAGGAACAATAATATCTTCGACAAACTTTGCCAGCTTTGACTCTGCCACCTGCAGAATAACAAACCATTTAGCAAGCACACTACAACTATCAAAAAGTATCTCAAGAAACACCAAGACTCAAATATGGTTGTTATATCAAGTATACTTGACCCCACAGCATGACTGAGTTCTCTTACATTAGTGTTTGAAGCACTAGCATCCACCTAATAAGTCTTAGAAGAGGAAGAAGTGAAGTGTCTAAGAGTTAAATTGAACATTTCCCACAAAATTATTGTCAAAACAACTGTGGACAGCTAAATTTTGAGAGGGTTTTCAGCAGTTCATGCAATAAAATCGTCATCAGATATAATAGGTGACGGTACTCAACAAATATGAACGGGCACATGTTATGTATTCAATCATATAAAAATAACTCCGCAGACAACGACAACAGCAAAAAGAATATATGCTTTCATCTATTAATTGTCTTTAAAAAAGGCACCTCCAGGTGGACATGATCATAGTTAAAAGTACTAAAGAGATGAGAATTTTTATACAAAGATGATCAACCAAGAGGTTGATCTGTTTACTTGGGGTGTCGGTGCCTTTTGAAATATATATATACTAGTATAAGAACCCGCGTGATGCGCGGATAATTTGACAGAATATTAATCTTATAAAATTATGATCTAATATATCATATTAACTTAATAAATATTAGTTGTATTTTATTATTTAATATAGTGTGCAGAAATATAATACAATCTATACAAAATTAAAGGATACACATCATATAGTAATCAAATAAATTGTTTGATCCTTTTTATTTTTATTATTGAATTAGCAAGTACTTAGTACTATTGATAATTTTCTTTTGAGTGTTATTTATTTATCTTTTATTTTTAATTACTTCAAACTATAAATATCATAAAATTATCTCTATCCCCCTCTTTTCGTACATTCTTTTCTACTGTAATACATATTTGATTAGTTTTCAAATTTTGTAGTTTATCAAAAATTAAATAATGTAATATTGTTTTACTAAATTATAATTTTGAATTCATCAAAAGTATAAAGAGATAAGCACACATATATATATATATATA